CCTCCACTCAGTCTCCACATACCTTGAGGCAAACAACACCTACATCAGAATGCTGTTTGTTCATTTCAGCTCAGCATTCAACACAATCTCCCCCGTGCATCTGATTGGTACACTCAACACTCTGGTCACACCTCCTCCAGTTTAATCCTCAAGACCAGAACCCCTCCAGGCTGTGTGCTCAGCCCCCTCCTGTTTACGCTATACACCCATGAATGCATCCCCCAACATGGGGACAACTCTGTTGTGAATTTTGCAGATGACACCACCATCATCGGCTGGATTTCAAACAACAATCATATCGGGAGGAAATCAACAATACTGTTCAACATTAGCAAAACCAAAGAGGCTGATGGTTGATTTTAGGAAAAAGGAGGCAAACACCCCTGTTTACATTAGTGGAACTGAGTTGGAACAGGAGAACAGATTTCGGTTCCTGGGAATCAACATTACATAGAACCTGTCATGATCATCTCACATCTCCACTCTGGTTAAGAAAGCACAGAAACAACTGTATTTTCTAAGGGAAAATGAAAGCAAAATTGCTGTGCTAAGTTCTTGTTAACTTCTACAGAGGACCAACAGTAAGCATTCACAAACGGAATGTGCTCGGCCCAGGATAGGACTGCTTACTCTGTAGCTAAATGTTACACACTGGACCTTTAAGGCTTCAGATTCTTTGTACAATGACTGTGTTATCTCCCTTTGTTATATGAACAGTTCTATTGAAATTAAGTAAATTGAAATGTACAATACGATTGTTAGTCTCTGGAGGAGGTGAATTTGTGACCCTATTAATCAGCCTTTGAGGGCTGAGGGCCCGTCTTTGAAGTACCTAAGCATTTAGCAGAGTGAAGCAGGTTTAACAATAAAGCGAAGAAGACATAAGCTGAGAACGACAATGACCTCCAAGTATGTAAAACACTCCTCAGATATTCAGTATTGGGTGAACAGGGGTGAAATGGCTTTGAGCGGTCAAGCAATGTGCATGAAATTCTTGATTGAAGTTGAAGTTGTTGTAAAATATTACCAAGACCATTATTGCGTGCTTAAATCTGATACTAATAGTCACCTGAATATACTAGCAATCCCCTATAAATCCCCAGTCAAGAGATTAAATTAAATAGTTAATAAAATAAATCAGTAATTTACATAATTTGCCAACTATCCATTTTTGCTAAATAACAATACTAAATATTGTAATAAGGTCAAAAAATGGAAAAGAACAAGTAAAAGAGAGGTGTCAGACAGGTTGAAAAAAACGAAAAAAAGAGGGGGAGATTTACTAACATTAAATATCCAGTCTTCTTATGGGGAGTTAAGCTGGAAGCTTGCAAAAAAGATCTGAAAACATAAGAGGAAATAGTTGGAGTTGGAGCAACTCAACTCTTCAAGGAACAGCAGCTCTCCCCAGATTGGCTGGGGTTACTTTCTTTTTCTGATTTGCCAGAAGGGGTTTGCTCCCACACTTTCACGTATGATGTGGAGAATAACAGACAAGATGAGACACTTTGCCACTTGCTCTCGTGACTTTGTCTGCTCTAAAGAATGCTTTAAATACAAAGGGCCAATGATATGAAGGTTGATTATGAATTCTCTCCCACTGCTAAGTGTGTCAAGCCAGCCAAATGTCAGAGGATATTCTGTCAGAGGATATTGAGTTGACTGAAAATGTCAGACAGGGAGGAACCGTGAAAGAGAGCATGAGGAGGAAACAAAAGGAGGAGGAGGAAACTGGTGCACATGTGTTAGTGTGACTCAATTATGGCAGAGTACCTGTCATCATTATGTTGCCTAATGAGGGGGGGGATTTGGTTTAAAATATTATCTCACAATAGTATTGACCTGCTTCCTTTGGCACTCCACGCTGATCCCCTTTATCCATCTGTCCAGGTGGACCAAACATTTGAAGACCGACAACATGGCAACGGTTAACCTTTGGCCGGATATCAAACACTATTTCATGTTTATCATTATCATAACTTTGTAATGACCCATGTTTCCAAGGAAATGCACCAGACAGACAGTTCAGATAACAACCAACACTTAGTTGCTCTTCAGATTTCAAAGTAAATTGCAATCAAAATTTATTTAGATAACCTTTTTATTTTATGTACCCCACAAGACTTTAAAACCGCTTAGCTTCAATGCTATTAAAAGAAAAGCAGAGGAGAAACATGCATGTCAGTACAACCTAAGGTTTAAAATGTATGGACATGAAGGAGCTCAAATAGATTTCTGTTGTTTCTAAGATTGCAAGTTCCCCTTTTCTGTAACAGTTTAAACACAATATTGCATTATTGTCCAAGTGAATAATAATTACCTGGTGAAAAATGGCGTAGACCTGTTGACTACCAATAAACTTCAACGCATGTTAAAACACATAAGGAGATTTTAAAAGTACTGACTGAGAATTTCATCATCTTTTACACAGATGTAGCAAATAAAAAATGCGTGCAAGAAACTAAACCTTTTTTTTCAGGGACAGTGTTTAAGACAAGAAAAAAGAACTGTTTTTTTTTTCTAATGACACAAAACATTTTACAAACAAAACTTTGGACTCACCAAAAGCTGTGTAAAACTCCTCTTTTGTCAGGTGCTCGTCGTCATTAACATCATTGTACTTCAGCAGGTCGAACAATGTGCACTCTGAGACATCCTTGGACAGACCTTCTTGCTTGATAACCTTCAATGAGAATGCATTTATGTCTGGTTAAAGAAGCTTGAGAGTACTGTCTCTTAGAAATTACATTTACATGCAACTCATTTGCAAAAGTAAATACATTTTGAAAGACAAATACAGTAATGCCACCGGGGGGTAATTACATGTTTACTGGGTATTTCTTCCATTATTATATGTTTGAAAACACAATGCAAGTGTTGCTGATGTGAATGTATTAATGTTAAAGCAATACAAAAGTGATGCCATATTTTGCTTGGGAATGAAAAGTGTCTGGAACATATGGTAGTTAAATACATTTTGTGCACTAAAAGCATCATGGACAGCTAACTACAGCCCTTGAGAAGAGAGCAAGAGACAGAGGGGGAGCAGAAATTACGACTGCTGGAAGAAGAATAAGTGGGTTGTCGCCGATACACAGGGACGCTGGAAATCAGCCACAGTTGGGGGTGCTGAGAGAAGGTCAGTCTATATAATGACGTCATACTAAATGATACATATTTTTTGTATTAATTTGAATTGCCAGGATAACTTCTATCTAATAATGTTAGATAGAAGTTTTACACTACAGCAGGCAGCAAACTTGAACACAAACATACTGCATGTCAAAGCAGCCACAGAGCCGAGACAGGCAACAACACATAACTAAACTCATTTCAAACACGGACATCCACTTTCTGCACTTTCTTCTTCTCTTACATAATACTTTATAACTGTACATTTCTACACCTTTTACCTTAGTTGTATAAGATTATGCTTTTATATTAATAATTTATATATACGTATGTTCTTAATAATTATTATATGATGTAGTAAATATGTTGTATGAGCATTTTGGAGTTTGTAACGAAAGTAATTTTCCCCCTGGGAGTTATTAAATAATTTCTGATTCTGATTCTGATTCTGATAATCAATGAGAACTGCAAGGAGATGAAGAGGGACAAGACATGATCCACGATCAGTTCATTATAGTTCATAATAATGTAGTGCAGTGACCATACAGGCCACCTTTAATACAGTAGACAAGCATATAAAGCAGATTTATCTGTCTGTCAGTGTTAACAGAAGATATTGTATTTTTCAAGATAAGGCAGGTAAATAGATTTGCATTGCATTAAAGAAAAAATTGCTTTTAAAAAAACAAAAAAACAAAAAAAGTAGGCTTTGAAATAGCTTAACCTAAACTTCTTTGGTCTTGTTGCAGTCTTTTGAGTTTCTGTCTCCCTTTAGTAAGTATCCTGCAGTGTTTGTTGCTTCTCTGCAGCCTTACCTGGATGAACTGTATTCTGCTGAGTGTTTACTTTCCTAGTGTGTACATCTTTTGTGCAGATAACATTAATTAATTACTCTTATTGGCTTTTTGTTCGCTGTACTTTTTTTTGCATTTGCAGTGGTGTGATGAGTGTGTCACTCTCCACTGCTGTCTTTGGAGAAACACTGCTGCTGCGGGTGGGGCTACATCCTGCACACAGAGATCACTGGAGTGGAGGAGAGAGAGACAGTGGAGAAAGTTGACGACAGCTAGACTGACAAGCTTTGCGAGTAAAACAAATGTGTCAATATAGTTCAATATAGCTAAAAAATAAAAAAAATCCCTTGATCAGCTTCAATACCGAGAATTTGGGACATCCCTACTTTGCATATTCACACTTGCTTGACCACATGAGCTCTATCTTGCTCTCTCACTCTCTCCTTTCTTTCTTTCTTTCTTTCTCTTCTCTCTCTTCTCTCCTTCTCTCTCTCTCTCTCTCTCTCTCTCTCTCTCCCTCCGTATCACACTTTTTTTAAAATCAAATGATGGTTTTTATAAGGCATGGTTTGAGGTTGCTGCAGCCTTCCCCTCCAGTATCCATACCTATACACATCAGGTATTTATTTATTGATTGCACACTGGGGAAATTCAGTTGTTACAGCAGATCCAGATGTGTAACACAGCATATGAGGAAAATAAATAAATGAAAATGGTATAATAGCATAAAATAGATTGCTTTTGATCATAAATATTCATAACAAATTCACATATACAGCTGTCTATAGAAACAGGGTGCCAAATTGCAGCAAATACCAAATCTTACATAGTGTTGCTTTAAGTACAACACTAGAGTAAATCTACTTACTTTGTAAACGTACTTAATACTGTCTATGTTGAAAAGTTCTCTGAAATGAGTCAACATTAAGTGCTCCATCTAAACTCTGTGTTGAATGTCATACTGATGAAACACACCCAGTATTAGCTGTCAGTTTATCATAGCTACTTGAGACTCACTCAAGTTTTGTCACAATAGATGGTGGAAAGGCCCCAAACACTGTGCAGATTTTATCATCATCCTGCTAAAGCATGATCCTATTCAACACCCTCTGCATGGCCCTAGCAGTAAAACATCCATCATACTAGATCAGCTGTCAAAATGCTAATCAGAAGGGATGGCTTTATACATCATGCCTTGTCCATTGGATCAGTGCACTTCCCTTCCCAGATGACTTGCCCAAAATGTAGGTGTCACCTGTAATGGCATACCCTTACAGTAAATGTGGCATACACAATAAAACAGCTGCTTGTGTGTTCTGTATTTTAAATTATTAGATCTCATTTGCACAATGTTTTTCCTCTTTTTCATAATTTATGCATTGAAAACAAATCAAAATTGAGCCAGGGATAAGTGCTCACTTGAAATGCTTCGCGGATTCCTCATGAACAAAGGTGCTCCAAATATTCTTAACTCTCTGGTAATTTTTTCTGGCTTGCTTTGACTTGACTTGACTTGAAGTAATGTAGGTAGCCTTTGTGACTCCTACACCATTACAGTACACATTTCTCAGGTTGTGATGTTTTAACTCTAAATCTTGAATATTTCATTACATGGCCTTACTCTCATCACACAACCTTTTGATTCATCTGGCTACTTTTCTGTGGTGAGTGACTATTCAACCACAGTAAAAGAGGACCACGGACATGTTCAATGGCAGACGCTGTGAGCTTAATGAACTGAGACATCACTGACAGGATAACCAGCTGTAATGTTTAATGAGAATGCAGCTTCTGCCTGTTTCAAATCGAAGCTTAATCTACACAGCCAATGGAACATTGGCTAGTTAATCAGATAAAACACCTATTTCACAATTAACAGCTACAGACAGACACAGTTAAGTTTTCACTTGGTAACATTTTAGATTTATTTCAGTAATTACACAGAACCTACTCTGGTAGCACAGACATTATAGCTACAAAGATGTCTGCTAAAATCTTCTTCTAGTAAGAAGATGACAGGTAGGAGGGCTGTGGTAAAGACCCTGTGTGTGGCTTCTGTAAACTGACCTTTAATACCATTGGTCTTTAAGAGAATAGAGAATTTACAAAGATTTACCCATTCATTATACCTATTCTGGTCTGGATGAGGACTTAATTTTCTCTAGTCTGATTCTCAAAATGCTGTCCGTGGGATCTTTTCTCAAAGGTATATAACGAAAATACAAATCCTTTCCAAAAGGTTTCCAGAACGGCATAATGACTGTACTATAGTACTACTATAAATTATATGGAGGGACAAAAAGAGCAGTCCTTCCAAAAGCTATGAACTATGAAATTTTGTTTTTTTATGAATTATAATTGACAAAATATGTTATAAAAGTTACAATACCTTATGAAGTGCAAAATCAGACGAAGGCCTCTAGCCTTATATGATAACGCTATAACCTTTGCCTGGCAATGTTTATTTCCCCATTTGTGTTACATTTTTTTCAATAAGGCTATAGCGCTAGCCGTTTTGCTACCTGCCACCCATTTTGGTAAAATGTATGATTTCAGGCATTCTGTCTTTGGTCAAATGATAGATACGGGCAATTTACAAAAAAATAAGTTTTGATTTGCCATTTTAAAAGGGCAGCCATAACTAAAAGGGCAGGGACAATTGCTCCCTGTGCCCCTTCATGTGCACACTCTAGCAAGTCAAGTAAGCCAGGGTGAGGGATTTTCATCCTAGAATTTCAAATGAGATCAGAGAATGCTCCAATTATAAAGAGCGCTTTAGGGCATGAGTGTTGCAGCATGGTTTTGTATTTTCAACTGCTGATAAGAGTGTGATTTGCTTGTGCATTGCTTTTTTTGAGGGTTCACATCAAAATGTTATTTGCATAAATCTCTTGTCTTCTTTCACATTCATCTTTTATCACAAAGGCAAAACTCTCCAGTTCTACAGTATCTCAAGCAGCTCAGGTTAAGAAAACATGCAGACTGCCCTGACACTAAGTAATTCTGAACCTTCATGTATTGTGTACGATTTTTTAAAACTTGCATCCTTGGAGAGGAAAGCAAACTGCATTTTCCAAGCTATTAATTACTCTGAAATTACATTCTAAGGCAACATTTAATACACCAACATAAAAACTCATTAAAGACCCAATCCATAATTATATTTAGACACCCTTCTGTTGAGGCACTGTCAACCCACAACTGCCTTCATTTATTAAGTGATTTATCAGATTGGTGAAGCTGTTTCGAGCCAATATTTATCCTGCAGATATTTATTATGCACTAATTTTGATGTGAGGTGAAAGTATGTTGATGTTCAAAAGTTTTCTCAACATTTTTAGACTGCAGATATGTGCAAATACTAGTGAAGTTTCCTGTCACTGCAGCAAAACAGCCCTGTCGTTGAGTTCCAGTATGAAAAATAAGTTATATAGGACCAAGTCAGAAAACTAGTGGTTTGAGTCAGCTATGTGAATGAATGCAAGCACAAAAAAACCCTTTTGATTAGTTGGAAACCCCATAAGGGCCACCTGTAATCCACTGATATTTTAATTTATGACTATTCCAGAAATGCTCACTTCTCTCATTTTCTCTAAGAACGTGTCTTGTGTAGTCAGACACTGCATGAAATCTGCCAACATTCCCATATGTGTCGAGGATAAAAAGGGGAGCATGGCTAAAAGCAGCCCTTGAGGAACCTATGAAAAGAGCTTCTCCATCTGGATGTTAATTATTACTGACTAGTTTGTGTCATTCAAACACCTGGGGATAGGTGAAGGGGTACAGCTTGGCCTGGAATAGAATAAATGGCATCACCAAGAGGTTTTAAAATCTGTCCAAAGTAATATTCAGTAGGTTTAAAGGGCATATTCAAATTCACATTCAGAGGACACTGGCAATATTATTCCCTAAAACACAGCACAACATGGTTTGTTGACTATGCATTTCACTCACTAAGCACTGATTTCTCTCATGCTGGCACAGGGCGCCATGTAAATGTAAAAATATGTAAATAATATAAAAATTAAATACTATTTTTGAGGCATTATTTAGATGCTTTGAACTCAAAATGCTAAAAATATTCAAATAAACCTAATGAGACCTCCCTCATTGGCCAAGAGAGCACTGACGAAGCAAACCAAGGTGACCCCCTGTACAGATGGAATATCCTACTAGATCAGCAGGAAACTGGCCTAAGAATAGCAACTGGTTTCATGGTTCTGAAAACCACCGCAGGTTGCTTACCGTTTCAATTATTTAAATAGTACCTATATCTACATATATATATATATATATATATATATATAAATCAGAGTACTGGGAATGGACTTGGAGAATGTATTTGTTATGCACAGAATATCCTTCTTCCTCATGACAGCACAAAAAAACTCTTTTACAACCATTCCTCCTGGCAGTGCTGGTCAAAGGCTGCAGCCTCCCATGAGCGAAAGGCTCCTTTGACCCACATTGCTTTTCAAAAGATTTACCTAGAGCCACGCACCAAAGCTACCAGAGGGAAGGGTAAGAGGAGTAAAATGGACACAATTATGGCAGACATCAAAGTGGCTAGTTTAAACACCTGAGCACACAGATGGTTTGTTCATATGTACTCCCCTTTTGGATGGATATTTACATAAAAATGACGGACTTAAGAGGGGCTATGGGGAGTCTTGAAAATTGAAGCACAGTTACAAAATGTTGAACAGCTTCTTTTTAGGGAAAGAAACTGACAATTAAAGCCAGATCTCCTGTACTTTTTCACACATTTTCAGAAATATTATTAGATCACTGTAAGCTTCAGTCAAGTTTAAGTTAATGCATTCTTCTTTATGCCAGTAATTGATTGAGTTATCTATGTATTGTTCTAGATATCTTATTGTGTATTAAAGCTCATATATTGTTCGATATCCTTACCTGTGAGAGTTCGCTGGCATCTATTTGACCATTGTTATCTGTATCAAAGCGTTTGAACATCATATCAACCAGTTGCTTCCTAGCAGCCATGTTGTCCTTGTGGGCCCCATGGATGTTGGAGCCCATGTATCGTTTGTCATGCAAATCCAGAATCTTGATTTTCAGCCGACGGTAGTCACTCAGTCTGCAGTTGTCATCTGGGAAAGAAAGGAAAATAGAAGCAGAATGGTTACAGGGAGAGAGAATATTTATCATAAAGTCGTAACAAGCACTACTGTAAGAGCTGAGAGGAGAGTGTGTTTTTGCTTTGTCTAGATGACTAAATTATGTCTAAAATGGGATGTCTAAAAACATATTTCACAAATAGCTAAATGATTCCCAGGTGCTAAATAAGGTGCATGATTAAAAGCACTGAACTTCCTAAATTCCTAAAATTGGATGCAATGTTTCAAATATCAGCCAATTAGTACCTGTGAAAGCTAGAATCCCCCTGAAGACTCACAATATTAAATAATAAGCTGCTGTTTATATTCAGCAAAACCCAAATCTGAGCATGTCTATGATTGCATCACAATAACAAATGCTAAGGATTATTTTCCTGAGGGGAGCACAAACAGTGACAGTTGTGCGACATTTCACTGCCTCAAACTAAGAAAGCAGCAGCACCGTCAATACAAGGAAACTGACGAACAAATCCATCACACAGGTGTCAAGAGCTAACCCTGACAGCAACAGAAAACATGATGGTGTTGTATTTACAATCTGCCATCAAAGGCTCTAGATCAAAGAAGTGAACTACATGAAAGGTTCAGCAGAGTAGAGTCGAGGCAAAGAGAAAATAATGACTAGAACTAGCGGTTGACATATGTCATATCAACTTCTCATTGTTAGATCTGGAAGTGTTTCTCCTCTAATAACAGATATATTAGCTGATGTCAACCAACCCACTAGAAAAACTTTGTTTTTGCTTTTCAAATCTCAGGGGAGGAAGGTGCCATCTCTGCCATATCATCCTGTGTGATCAACTGCTTGGGAGAAATATGGAATAATAGCTGCTGCATGGAGTCTTCCGCCAGACAAATGAACTTTGTTGGGGATGATCAGACGAGAATGATTTAGTGAGAGCAGTAATGAGATCCACTCAGCAGAACTGGGTGCTCGCTGAGAGCTGCGGACTAGTTAAGCGGAATCAGAGCAACCCCAGAAACCAATGACATGTCATTATCGGATGCGTAGGATCTCATTGTTGGCTTGAAAATGTCTTCCAACTCTTCTTCAGCTAAACATCTTTAGCAATCAGTTAACATTTAAATGAGATGCTTGGTGTAATCCTGGCACTGACAGAAGTTCTTCTAACACTGACGTCAGTGAAATCAATGGACTGCCACAGAGGCTCAAATCATTTTCATTTTCATCTAAATTCATCTTTTTGACCTTGTCACAGTACACCAATGTAAAAATGTATTTCCTGGCATTGAAATGTTTAGTATTGTGTCTGAGGAAGGTGTGAAATGCAACAGTTTGTCTGAGTCTGTTTTTGGTATAACTCATATTCTACCAGATATAGACACAGAATTAGTGTAAACAAAAGACATGAGAGATGATTCGGTGCGCTTGTTACTTCTGAGTGAACAGTACCAATTTTCTAGGGGAAAATGGAATACATTGTCCATAATTGTTTTAGCAACAGATGGTTAACAAATAAAGGAAGAACCTGAATAAATGAGTGGAGAAACATGATAAATACAAATGCCTGCATGAAGGTCAAGAAGGGTCACTGAATGGTTGGATGAGTGTGAAAATGATGTGAATCATATGCTATGGCCTTTGTAGTCCGCTCTCAGTCCAGTTGTAAAATAATGGGACATATTTGTACCAATGTGTTAAAAAATGTTCTCTACCATCATTATGAAATTTGAACTACTGCCTTGTGGTTGTATGCTTCTGACAACCAGTTAGTTAGGTTTTAGTTTACATCCATGTTTCTCCAGACTCATATAATATATAAAGTGAAGACTTTGAAGGAATTTAA